ACCAACAGGTCTAGAACCAGTCGGTACCGGGTCAAACCACGACCAACTGGTCCAGAACCAGTCGGTACCAGGTCAAACAAGGACCATCAGGTCCAGAACAAGTCGGTACCGGGTCAAACCAGGTCCAACAGGTCCAGAACCAGTCATTACCGGGTCAAACAAGCCCAGAACCAGGCATTACGGGGTAAACCAGGACCATCAGGTCCAGAACCAGTCGGTACTGGGTCAAACAGGTCCAGAACAAGTTGTTATCGGGTCAAACCAGGACCAACAGGTCCAGAACCACTCAGTACCGGGTTAAAACCAGGACCATCAGGTCCAGAACCAGTCGGTACCGGGTCAAACCACGACCAACACATCTGGAACTAGTCAGTACCGGGTCAAACCAGGACCAACAGGTCCAGAACCAGTCGGTACCGGGTCAAACCATGACCAACAGGTCCAAAACCTGGTTAAACCAGGACCATCAGGTCCAGAACCAGTCGGTACCAGGTCAAACCAGGATATACAGGTCCAGAACCAGTTATTACCAGGTCAAACCACGACCATCAGGTCCAGAACCAGTCGGTACTGGGTCAAACAGGTCCAGAACCAGTCGGTACCAGGTCAAACCAGGATATACAGGTCCAGAACCAGTTATTACCGGGTCAAACCATGACCAACTGGTCCAAAACCAGTCGGTACTGGGTCAAACCAGGACCAACAGATCCAGAACCAGTCAGTACCAGGTCAAACCAGGATATACAGGTCCAGAACCAGTTATTACCGGGTCGAACCACGACCAACTGGTCCAAAACCAGTCGGTACTGGGTCAAACAGGTCCAGAACAAGTTGTTACCGGGTCAAACCAGGACCAACAGGTCCAGAACCAGTCGGTACCGGGTCAAACCAGGACCAACACATCTGGAACTAGTCAGTACGGGGTCAAACCAGGACCAACAGGTCTAGAACCAGTCGGTACCAGGTCAAACAAGGACCATCAGGTCCAGAACCAGTCGGTACCAGGTCAAACCAGGATATACAGGTCCAGAACCAGTTATTACCGGCTCAAACCACGACCATCAGGTCCAGAACCAGTCGGTACTGGGTCAAACAGGTCCAGAACCAGTCGGTACCAGGTCAAACCAGGATATACAGGTCCAGAACCAGTTATTACCGGGTCAAACCACGACCAACTGGTCCAAAACCAGTCGGTACTGGGTCAAACAGGTCCAGAACAAGTTGTTACCGGGTCAAACCAGGACCAACAGGTCCAGAACAAGTTGTTACCGGGTCAAACCACGACCAACAGGTCTAGAACCAGTCGGTACCGGGTCAAACCACGACCAACTGGTCCAGAACCAGTCCGTACCAGGTCAAACAAGGACCATCAGGTCCAGAACTAGTCGGTACCGGGTCAAACCAGGTCCAACAGGTCCAGAACCAGAGCTGTAACCCTGTGGTTCCTCATCAAGCTGGGTTCTGTGGGCCTCGGATCGGCGCCGGCCTTGCAGCGAGCCGCCGGCCTGTAAACAGCAGCCCCCAACGGAGCCCCGCCTCTTCCTGGCAGCTCTCCTGACAAAAGGCCAATTCAAAGCCAAGTGCTCTCCACGGCGCCTTAACAAGCCGCTGGAGGGCCCTCCAGGCGGAGGCTGGGGGGGCCCCGCTGGGCAGCGCCGCCGCTCGCTCCCCATCCAGACAGATTGACCGCAGTAATTGAGTCTCCATTTGCATGGCGGGGCTTTCATCACGGTGCCGCCGCTCCGCGCCGCACACACGCTTCCAGGACGGACGCGCGCATCGATCAGAGGCGCCGACGGCGGGAGGACAGAACATGCTGTCGGCTCTGAGCCTGGAGGACCAGGAGGAGAGAGCGAGGAGCTGGGTCTGTTCCCCCATCGGTACCAGGATAAAGATACAGAACCAGAACCGCAACTGTCGCAACTTCAGAACCACATGGTTCTGGTTTATAGAGAGAAGGAACCAGTTCTAGATGAACTATTTCTGGTTGTTCTTCCAGTTTAAACTGATCAATGAGGCCAGAAGTGAAACATCTGATTGAAGTTTTCTACAGTCTAAAGGAGCCGATGAGACTCTGGAGGTAAACCAGAACATTTCAGTCTGCAGAACTCATCAGAGAGCAGAACCTCAGCGGACAGGAAGCGGTTAACGTCTCCTCGCCGTCTTCGTCTTCTTCTCTGAGACTTTTTGGTGCCAATTAGGCGGCATCCATTGCCATCCACTTAATTAGCGGCATTAATGTGATTTCTTTGCACATAGTCGGGCAATTAGCGGCGCTGATTGAATTTCATTCGATTAGCCTCCGCAAACACGCTAATCGACGGCGGAGCTGCAGACGCGGCGCCCAGGAAGCGTTTCTGCTGCTGGAGGGCGTTTGCCTGTTTATGCATCACAGTGTGTTGATGCGCTAAGTGATGAGTTTTAACACTAATTTACTGCATCAGCTCCTCTGATCGCTGACGGACGTGTGCAGCTTGCTGAGGTGTGGAGACGGCTCTGCAGGGAATCAAACCCGCAACTCCCACGCTGCACACAGACACTCTGTTACTGAGCTGAGCTACATCAGTAGAGGTCAGGTTCAGTTCGTCAGCCGGAGGTAGGAAGAACGGGTTCTACTTTAGAACTAAACTGGACGGAAACTAAACAAAGCTGGAACTAAACCGGACTGAAACTAAACAAAGCTGGAACTAAACCGGACTGAAACTAAACCGGACTGGAACTAAACCGGCCTGGAACTAAACAGGACTGGAACTAAACCGGCCTGGAACTAAACCGGACTGGAACTAAACCGGACTGGAAATAAACAGGCCTGGAACTAAACAAAGCTGGAACTAAACCGGACTGAAACTAAACCGGACTGGAACTAAACCGGCCTGGAACTAAACAGGACTGGAACTAAACCGGACTGGAACTAAACCGGACTGGAACTAAACCGGACTGGAAATAAACCGGACTGGAAATAAACCGGACTGGAAATAAACCGGACTGGAAATAAACAGGCCTGGAACTAAACCGGACTGAAACTAAACCGGACTGAAACTAAACCGGACTGGAACTAAACCGGACTGAAACTAAACCGGACTGGAACTAAACCGGACTGGAACTAAACCGGACTGAAACTAAACCGGACTGAAACTAAACCGGACTGAAACTAAACCGGACTGAAACTAAACCGGACTGAAACTAAACCGGACTGGAACTAAACCGGACTGAAACTAAACCGGACTGGAACTAAACCGGACTGGAACTAAACCGGACTGGAACTAAACCAGCCTGGAACTAAACCGGACTGGAACTAAACCGGACTGGAAATAAACAGGCCTGGAACTAAACCGGACTGGAACTAAACCGGACTGGAACTAAACCGGACTGAACTAAACCGGCCTGGAACTAAACAGGACTGGAACTAAACAGGACTGGAACTAAACCGGCCTGGAACTAAACAGGACTGGAACTAAACAGGACTGGAACTAAACCGGACTGGAACTAAACCAAGCTGGAACTAAACCGGACTGAACTAAACCGGACTGGAACTAAACCGGCCTGGAACTAAACAGGACTGGAACTAAACCGGACTGGAACTAAACCGGCCTGGAACTAAACCGGACTGGAACTAAACCAAGCTGGAACTAAAGCGGCCTGGATCTAAACCGGCCTGGAACTAAACCAAGCTGGAACTAAACAGGCCTGGAACTAAACCGGACTGGAACTAAACCGGACTGGAACTAAACCAAGCTGGAACTAAACCAGCCTGGAACTAAACCGGACTGGAACTAAACTAGCGTGGAACTAAAGCAAGCTGGAACTAAACCGGACTGAACTAAACCGGCCTGGAACTAAACCAAGCTGGAACTAAACCAGCCTGGAACTAAACCGGACTGAACTAAACCGGCCTGGAACTAAACCAACCTGGAACTAAACCGGACTGAACTAAACCGGCCTGGAACTAAACCAAGCTGGAACTAAACCAGCCTGGAACTAAACCGGACTGGAACTAAACTAGCGTGGAACTAAAGCAAGCTGGAACTAAACCGGACTGAACTAAACCGGCCTGGAACTAAACCGGACTGGAACTAAACCAAGCTGGAACTAAACTAAGATGAGGAATGTTGAAAAACCTCTCTTGATTAAACTAAAACCAGTCCAGATTAAAATAATCAGAAACCAGTAAGAATGGTTTAATACGACCAAGTATGGGCTGCGAATGAAGTCTTAACATTAGGAGAGTTAGGTTGTAAAATTACGAGAATAAAGTCATCAAACCACAACCGGTTTCAGAAAGAAAGCTTGGAGCTCCGCCCACCAGATGACGGCCAACCAGCTCCACCAATCAGCAACCAGAGTCCACTTTGACATCCTGCCCAGTTTGATGCTGCTGCTAAAAGATTTCCTGATCGGTCAAACCGATGCCAAAGTAGAACTTCCCATGATGCTCCACATTCCTCATTTTAGGGAAGAAAGGGATTCTGGGAAGAGTTGTCAGAAAATATAACATGTTTCTTTTTATGTCATGACTTTATTCTCGTAATAGAAATAAAATAAATCTCTAGCCTATCTCTAATACACATAAACAGGACTGAGAGAAACCAGGAAATGAAACCAGCAGCAGCCAATGAGCCGCTCCTCCTGGCGCTGAAGGCCGCAGCTGAACAGAAACACGCCGACGTCTCCGCTCTGATTGGACCAGAGGTCCCCGCCCTCACACCTCCATCCCTGCTGATCCCGTAAACCAGCCTGAATTAATTAGTCCGCAGGTTAATCCAGCGACTCCTTCATCTAAGATCCAAAGCAACACCTGCAGCAAACGGCATCTGGAAGCTGCTAATGAAGCTACCAGCAGGTCTGAGGGAAACCAACACCTGACAGAGTCCAGGCTGCCGTAACCCAGACGGGACGGCGTGCCAACAGGGCCGCCGTAATTAGCACACACATTAGCGCTGATGTCCTCATCATGGGCGAACAGATGACGAGTCCTAATGAACATGTGGGAGGCGGCTTACGTGCAGGCTGGGGTGGTAGGTGAGCAGCCCGTTGTCGCACAGCGTCACGTACTTCTTCTTCCACTCCTTGTTGAGGGATTTACCGCTCCTCTTCATCAGCATGCCCTGCAGGAAACAGCGTGACAGGGTGAGTCTGCGGCGGAACAGATGTTCCACAGCTGCATCAGCTCGGTGAGAGGAGGAGCGACTGGTCAGCAGATTAAACACGGCAGAGACCAGGGATTACAGAGCAGCTCTGCCACCTCGGAGCGCTACTTCTTCAGCCGTCTGCAGTGGAATCACTTTATTTATGTGAAATCAGAAACAACACAAACTAGGCTGCAACTAAACATTGTTTTGCACATCGGATAATCTGTCGATTAATAATCTGATAACCAAAGGTTCCTTAATCCTCTTAGGAGGAAATTCCACATGAAATTCCATCTCTGAATTAAAGCAAGTTCAGCTACACCAAGCTGGAACTAAACCAGCCTGGAACTAAACCAGACTTGAACTAAACCGGACTTGAACTAAACCAGCCTGGAACTAAACCAGCCTGGAACTAAACCAGACTTGAACTAAATTGGCCTGGAACTAAACCAGCCTGGAACTAAACCAGACTTGAACTAAACCGGACTTGAACTAAACCAGCCTGGAACTAAACCAGCCTGGAACTAAACCAGCCTGGAACTAAACCAGACTTGAACTAAATTGGCCTGGAACTAAACCGGGCTGGAACTAAACCGGGCTGGAACTACACCAGACTGGAACTACACCAGACTGGAACTACACCAGACTGGAACTAAACCAGACTGGAACTAAACCAGCCTGGAACTAAACCAGCCTGGAACTAAACCAGTCTGGAACTAAACCAGACTTGAACTAAACCAGACTTGAACTAAATTGGCCTGGAACTAAACCGGCTTGGAACTAAACTGGCCTGGAACTAAACCAGACTTGAACTAAATTGGCCTGGAACTAAACCGGCTTGGAACTAAACTGGCCTGGAACTAAACCAGACTGGAACTACACCAGACTGGAACTACACCAGACTGGAACTACACCAGACTGGAACTAAACCAGACTGGAACTAAACCAGCCTGGAACTAAACCAGCCTGGAACTAAACCAGCCTGGAACTAAACCAGACTTGAACTAAATTGGGCTGGAACTAAACCGGGCTGGAACTAAACCGGGCTGGAACTAAACCAGCCTGGAACTAAACCAGCCTGGAACTAAACCAGCCTGGAACTAAACCAGCCTGGAACTAAATCAGACTTGAACTAAACTAGCCTGGAACTAAACCAGACTGGAACTACACCAGACTGGAACTAAACCAGACTGGAACTAAATCAGACTTGAACTAAACTAGCCTGGAACTAAACCAGCCTGGAACTAAACCAGCCTGGAACTAAACCAGACTGGAACTACACCAGACTGGAACTAAACCAGACTGGAACTACACCAGACTGGAACTAAATCAGACTTGAACTAAACCGGCCTGGAACTAAATCAGACTTGAACTAAACCAGCCTGGAACTAAACCAGCCTGGAACTAAATCAGACATGAACTAAACCAGCCTGGAACTAGACCAGACTGGAACTAAATCAGACTTGAACTAAACCAGCCTGGAACTAAACCAGCCTGGAACTAAATCAGACATGAACTAAACCAGCCTGGAACTAGACCAGCCTGGAACTAAACCAGCCTGGAACTAAACTCAAATTAAGGGTAAATACAGCTGATTTGAGATTTTTTTCATACTTATTTCTAGATGATTTTAACAGTGTAGGTTTAAAAATAAACTTGTGATCCACATTAGGTCTGGCTGTTGATTCCAGTTTAGAATCGGTTCTATCTGATGGGATCAGATCTGATCTCTGGGCCCTGATGAACCTGATCAGAGGTTCTGGTTTTATTGCAGCTTTAATTCATCCAGTGAGAGGATCTCTCTTTCATCTTTATGGATTCAGAACCGGATCCAGTTTATCAGGCAGGACATGTTCCGCTCCGTGCTCCAGCCTCATCAGGTTCCGGTCCTGCTTTTATCCGTGCGGCGGCGGCTAAACGACCCCCGACTCTGTGAGGTGGAGATAACGAGCTCCCGGCTGCAAACAGCTGAGAGCAGAAAATGTGGGGAAATCGTCTGAATCTTTATTTCTCTCTCCTACGCACATCAGGCGCGGCCCAGTGAGCGTTTAGGCCGCCGCTCGCCGCTTCCCGCCCACACTTCATTTGAGCGGCATTCATTAGGTAAGAGGGGAGAGCAGGAAGGTCAAAAAGGAGGCGGCGGCGGGGGATAAAACTGTCCGCTGATTAGCAATTACAGCCGCGCTGCCACGCGTGTCACTTCACTGGACCTCTGCAGCGCTAACGCTCCGACACACGATATTAATAGAGTCCGGCCGTGAAGGGAGGAAGAGGAGGAGGATGATGGACAGAGGCCTGCTCCGCGCTCAGCTCTCATTAAGGCGGTGGGTGGCGGCGCCCGCCGGCGCCGCGCTCCGTGTAATTGGCCACGACTAAACGCCACGAAGAAACGCTTCAGAGTGACAACAGGAGCTGAAGGCTTCTGTCCTCCACTAAAGCCTCTTCATCCTCTGAGGTCCGGGAGCTCGCCGCCGCCACCTCTGCTGCTGTCAGGAGCTCGCTGGAACAGCAGGCGCCCTGCGGGGCGCTAAGCGCGGCGTGATGAGCTCCCCGCTGACAGCCGCCCGCAGCCACGCAGCTGTCAGCGGGGAGAGAGGGACGGAGGTCGCTGTGACATCACTAAACATGGAGGAACCTGATCCAAACTCAGAAATATGATCCGCTGCGATCAGTCGGAACATCTGGGAGAAAAAAACATCAAAAATGATTTTATTAATGTTGAATAAAAATGGATTTAAAACATTTTTATCCTGATTATCAGATATTTTATAAACTTTTTTCATTTCATTAAAATGCAGCAGAAAAAAAAACTAAACTAATAAAAGCAAAGTTAATGAATAGAAAGATTAAAAGTTTTATTTTTCTGTTTTTCCCCTCAGGATGTCGGCCATCTTGGATCTTCTATATAATGTTCACTGGGTCAGAGAGCAGCTAAGGGTTCCAGTGGGATCGATGGTGGCGTCATTAGTGGGCGCCTCCGTGTCACTGCTGTGACATCATCAACGGAGGAGCGTCACCATCTGGGCGCCCTGCTTCTAAACCACGACTTTCTGACTGAGACTCGGTTTAACTCGTAAAGTTTAGTAAAAGATGAATTATTTGGACGCCTACGTTTGAAGAGGAGATCCAGAGCCTGACGGCTATGCAGTGCTGCAATGCACTGTGGGTAATGCAGTTAGACAAGGGCTTGTTCTCGCCAAGTACGGACTCGAAAAGAACCCAGGAAAGTCTGGACTTGGTGAGAACGGAGTATAACTCTGGGTCAATTGGAACAGAAGCGCACTGATGACATCACCACATTCAAAGCTAGCCCTAGAACATTAGCCCTAGCTAGGAACCAGGGCTAACGTTAGCCCCGGCTGCTGCAGACGGGCTAACGTTAGCTCCGGCTGCAGCAGACGGGCTAACGTTAGCCCGTCCGCTGCAGCCGGAGCTAACGTTAGCCCTAGCTAGGAACCAGGGCTAACATTAGCCCGTCTGCTGTAGCCGGGGCTATCGTTAGCCCCGGCTGCTGCGGACGGGCTAACGTTAGCCCCGGCTGCTGCAGACGGGCTAACGTTAGCCCAGGCTGCAGCAGACGGGCTAACGTTAGCCCAGGCTGCAGCAGACGGGCTAACGTTAGCCCAGGCTGCAGCAGACGGGCTAACGTTAGCCCAGGCTGCAGCAGACGGGCTAACGTTAGCCCAGGCTGCAGCATACGGGCTAACGTTAGCTCCGGCTGCAGCAGACGGGCTAACGTTAGCCCGTCCGCTGCAGCCGGAGCTAACGTTAGCCCTAGCTAGGAACCAGGGCTAACGTTAGCCCGTCTGCTGCAGCCGGGGCTAACGTTAGCCCCGGCTGCTGCAGACGGGGTAACGTTAGCCCGTTATGGTTAGCCTGGTTGCCTCTGTCCTCTCAACACCAGAACTTTTTTTAAATTACGCATTAAATCACTAAATGCGCCATATAGAGAAGCTTAAAGTATAATATTCTCACCTCAAATGATCTAAAGATGTACTTTTATTGAACCACAGCAACAGAAAAGAGAACTTTTAACTGAATACTCTGCTGCCGCAGTGCATGCTGGGAAAGTTTTCAGTCCTACAATTCCTTTTTAAGCATCTAAAATATTCTTTCTGTTGTGATTTGTGGACATAAAGATCTAAAGAGAAGCGCCATCTCCTGGTCAGAGCCTGTAATTTAGTGAAAGGAAGGAGTCAGAGTAGAAAAACATGAACACCCAGGAGAAGGCCAGTGGCTGGAAGTTGGAGGGGATTCGGCTTTAGACCTGGAACGGCCATTTTGGACGGCTGCTACAGTAGAGTCCCATCATAACCTGGGTAAACAGATCTGCTCGTGGAGGAAGACCCGATCCGACCTACTGATCCAGATAAACAGACGCCTTTGTTTCGCTTTTACTCCATAGAGTTAAACATCATGGAGCCCAAAGGCAGCAGAACCTGAACTTTTCCCAGAAAACGGGTCATTAGAACCCGACTGTTTCAGCAACAGACCTCCAGCAGCGAGTCCTTAATGTCCGTCTGTTAGCCAGGATAATGGAACCCAAACAGAACCGATTCCTTTCCTTCCTTCTGCTCCCATCCGATCAGGAGGACGTGTCCCTCCTGACGTCCAGAGAGACAGAGAGCAGGAAGAAGGCCTCAATTCTCTCCCCCAGCAGCTAACCCCCCCCCCATCCATCCATCCATCCTGAGGATGACAAGCCGTCCGTTGGCGAAGAGACGAAGGCTAATTGAAAGCCTCCTGATGGCTAATATCTCCCATTATTCACCTCTTCCTCTACCTTCAGGAGGTGGAGGGGCAGCGGCGGCCATGACAGCCCACAGGGCCCCTCCTGGGCGGATGGTAAGATAAATATGTCCTCGGATATACTCTCAGAGCGGCCGTGAAGTATTGGGACGCAGTGCTTAAGAAAAGGTCGCTAGCTCGGGGGGGCAGCAGATGAAGTCATTCGTTAGGCATCGGAGGGCATTAGT